GACCAGCACGGATCAGCTCCAGGCATGACGAAGCAGATATCGTCCTCTTTTGGAAGACCAAACAAAGTAGTTTCGCTTTCACAACGAAGCACACAGTGTCTTTACGACATGGCGGCGGCAACAACAAAACTACAGCGAGAATAAAAGTTAGCCTTCTTTCTTTGCGTGAACATTTGGGCGGCGTTATGCAAATCTTCCCACATAGCGACGTAGACATGTGGGGGCGTGTTAGAACGAGCCGTTTTAGGTAGGTGTGGCTGACTTAACTTTTATAAAGAATATCTCTTTGGATTTGAGACTTTAGTCTTTGCAACTTTACAGATCTTCTTTATGCATCAAGAGCTTGTAACATTCCAAAGAGAAAGAAAAAAATTTAATCGCATCATATGACCCCTTTAAATGTCATAGATGTATATTTACTGAGTAATCCAATTGGGGGTGGGTGGTTGGGTCAAATTGACAATTTGACTGAAGTCAAAGTTCAAATGTAAAATAACACTTTCACAGTATAAATAAATATAGATGAATCCTAACAATTAAAGTTACAAAAGTTATTCAGTCAAGAGCAGCGAGTGATTCCCTGTCTTTTGTTGCTTGATTAACATTGACACAGATAGCTGTAGGTTTATTAAACTGCTGAACCTTTAAGACTTCATGCAAAGACTTAATATACTGTTACACATGCGTTTCTTGCAACTATGTTAACATGAATACTCGCCAAGTTGGCATTTCAACAATTTTGTGTTTATCAGAATGTTTATATGCAATAAGCCACGAATAAAACTCAATTCAGTATTTGTGCACTGTTTGAGAGGTGGCTTTATCTGAGTGCACTTTGGGTGTGTGCGTACAGTAAACTGTCTCTCAGAGAGTACTGAACATAGTACTTTTTTGCTGCTTATTGTGCTTGGTTTAAAATCGCTAGAACGTTTATAATGGCAAGAATTAAAAACACATGCAAATGAGATATTCCATCAACTGTCCTGAGTGTCAAACACTGAAATGTTTGCAGGAATTTCCGGCATTATATGCACAGCACCTGCAGGAACGAGTAAAATATGTGCAATACCCACAACCCCATGTTGAAATTCAAGCCCTCTGCTCAGTTTGATTATCAAATTACAAAGGCTATGATTTAAATAAATATCTGCACTGTGTGTTTTAGAGTGACGCAGCACTGTGTTCACTTACATGTGAGCAGCTCATGATAACAGTGTTTTCAGCATCTCGATTCACAGTAAATGTGATGCCACACAAACATTTGCTCTGTGTTTGAGTCACTTTAATGTGCAATTTGGCACGAAACACACCAACCATCTTTATAAACCTGTCATCAATCAACAAAAGAGAAGCTTTAAGGGTCTCTACAGTTTTCTGTCAAAATAAAATTGATGGTTTATCATTTAAAGAAAAGAAGACAATAAAGGGACAGTTCACCTAACCAAGAAAATTGTGTCCTTTTTTTTTTAATGTTGTTCCAAACCTGACAGTTGATGGTAGACGCTGACTTCCATAGTATTTTTTTTTATCCCATACTATGGAAGTCAATGGCTACTGTCAACTGTTTGGTTGCCAACATTCCTCAAAATACCTTTTTTGTGTTCAGCAGAAGAAAGAAACTCACAGTGGTTTGGAATGACATGAGGGCGAGTAAATGATGACAATTTCATTTTTGATTGGATTATCCCTTTAATATAGACATATTATTTTGTAACCTCACAGTTATAATTATGGGTGTAATGTATTCATCCCGAACGTCACGGTACGGACTTCAAGGTTCGGTTCATGCACTCAGATGACGAATACAGTCAGTCACAGGTGATCAATCCAGAAGGAAATGCACCGCTACCGGTCACAACAGGAAACAGCAGAAGAACAGACGATCTATGCACCAACCCAAAACAAGAATGACGAATTCAGATGGGACCTAAGGGCTTGAAGAACCGATTGCTTGTTTTAAATCAGCAGTGTGGGAAAGTTTTGGGTTCTAGAGATGCACCAGTTGACCAGCCAAAAATTGGAAAAAATTCGTTATTTTAGTTTTATTTTGGCCAATCTCTATTCCTGAATTGTATACAAACTGCATTGTAATAATTTCCCAAAATGTAATTTGTGTGGAAATATAATAAGTCTGCAAACAGGATGCTAACAGAAGCTATAGATGCTTAAGATGGACGCAGATTGAGAAAATACCATACTAGGCAGATCAAGCTCACTGTTTGCGATGCGCAAACTATTGGAGGAAAAATATAAATACTGAATTGGGGATGGTGGGTTATATGAATGTATCTCTGGGGAAACTTAGCATTTTCAGAAAAGTTTTGTTGGCATTTTTTCCACTTACCTGTGTCTAATGCATATTAAAGTACTGTTTATAATTGCAGCGATGCTTTGTTTACAGCGGTAACCAAGAAAATGCTATATCACTGCTGTTCCATAAGCGCCTCCTGCTGTCAAGACAGTAAATTTGCCTTTTCATTCAGCCCATCTGCTGTTTTTGTTTTGTGCATTATTACACAAATCAAAAGTCAAACCATTCTGTTTTTGCTTTAAATCTTGAAATTACAAAATTATCTAATTCAAACCAAAACAACTGCTCATGCTGCATGAGTGTAGCACTACTGTCTATTCAAAATAAATGGAAAAAATTGCATTGGGGATTTGTTGCTTGCTTTTTCCTGTTGTACCGAACTCGCTTCGCACCATGATCCTAAAACATCGTATCGAACCATAACTTCTGTGTACTGTTACACCCCTAGTTATAATGTAAAAAAGATATTATTTATCTTAAATATTGCATTTTTATTTTACAATTAAATATTAGAATAGTAATATTTTAATTTTGTTATTTAGTAAATGTTTATTTAATAATATTTATATTTATAGAGTAATAAGAAATAAGAATTACTATTATTATTATGATCATACAGCCATATTGATACATAATCACTAAATTTTGTACAAATTGTGCAGTCCCACAAACAAGCACAGCAAAACCTAGAAATTTTAAATCACAATTTTTGATCAGAGTTTAAGTGATGCATTAAATGATAGTAATGCATCTGGGTGTAGATGGTTGTGCACAGATGATACAGTGTTAGTGTAATGGATGAAGGATGTGTGTTAACTAACCCGGTTGACCAGGGCGAGGACTCTTGAGTCTGTGGCGTGTGGATGTGTGTGGTGGGTGTTTGCGGGCTGGTTAACAGGACACCGGTGGGGACACTGGCCCTCTGAGGGGTGCCAATCACCTGCAGGAACAGACACAGGCCCATTAACATCATCACTGTGATTCTCAGTATAAACAGTCAGTGCAAATGAAAGTACAGGAGAGTGAATTCTGTGATTCTGACAATCTTTAGTCTGTAGTGGTCATTTGTCCAGCGTCTCGACCCACGAGCACCTGAGCACATCTACCTGTGTGTAATAGGATGATGAGGAATGTAATCCTGCTGACTCCAGCATTCTGTGATCCTCTTACACAGACTCTCCCGGGTCACCTCACACAATGTTAATGGAGGGCTTTATCGCCATGGAGACAATGGGACGGGCCAGAGAGGGGTCTGTGTGTCATCATGTGACTCTCATGCTTGAGTACTGGATTCTTTAAACATGGAGTATTTAATAAACAGCATGACTGTAAGTGTCTTACCACATGTGGCAGCACGTTAACGCCTGCAGCGGTGAGTGCTTTGGGCAGAATCTGTTTGACCGCAGCAACTGATGCTGGATGAATGGTCAGAAAGGACAGAACACCTGCAGCTGCATACAATCACACACACATCTTATTAATATTCATGATATGAATCCTGATAAACATGTGCAGTGCGTTTAATCACAGCGACCCCTGCAGGTCAGGAAGTCATGGTCACCACATGAGCACAACAATGACTAGTTAAGCTGTGGCCTGCTGTCAGTTACTGATAAAAATTAGTATTTGAATTAGGGCTGGGTGATATATCAAAAAAATTTATCGTGATATAATGTTTCATATCATTCGGTATCGATAATTATTGAAAACTTTTTATAACCTTTCTTAAAGAGCAGTAGAAATTTTTTTTTTTATTTGAGCTCTGTATTTTTTATTTACCCAATTTATTAAGACAAACAACAATTTTAGTTTTAACAAACAAAATAAAAAATGTAAACAAATATCTCCTTTCTTACATTTTATATGCAGAAGTGTTAAAGGGGTCCTATTATACTTTTTCAACTTTAGTTAGTCTGTAATGTTGCTGTTTGAGCATAAAAAAAGATCTGCAAAGTTACAAAGCTCAAAGTCCACTTTAAAAGGAGAATTTTATTTTACAGAAATCACTTTTCAAAAACTACAACGAACGACTCGTTTTGACTACAACACATACAGTATTTTCCGGGATTTGTGATATCACAAATATCGACCAATGGGACGAGACCTGGTTGAGCTGCACTAGAGAAGGCAACGAGTGTTATCACTAGGCATGGGCTGATTACCGGTTTCAAAGTATACTGCAATTTAAAAATGTTGCGGTTTCAAAGCCGCAAATATTTTCCGTTATACTGTTCCTGCGATATGTGCTGTTTTTCATGTCTCCTCAAATACGGAAAGTGTAGGAATCCCTCAGGTTGAGTGCAGTGTAGAGAGTAACACGACCCTCCTCCTCCTGTTGGCGTGAGCGAGCGGTCAGTCACGTGTGTGTCGGATGGCCGAACTAAGGAGCTGCCCCTGGAACTTACGCGATCGGCAACCAGCCGTTTTTTGTCTTATTGCAAGCAACTTGTCTCTGTTCTGGACTTGCACAAACCGCGTTGCAATGCAATCGTTTTCCAAAATGTCATTTATGTGAAAATATGAAGTCTGTAAACGCCCATTAACACAGGCCAGAGACGCTGAAGACGGCCGCACAGAGAAAAATACTGTAGCAGGCAGATCACTCACTGTTCATGATGCACAAACTATTGGAAGAATATATTGATTTGGGGGTTTATATGAATGTGTTTCTGAGGGGAACTGACTGTCTTCAGAAAAGTTTACGTGGTATTTTCTTTTAATCTCGTCTCTATAGTTCATATTAAAGCGGTGTTTCAGCGCAGCGCTGCTTTGTTTACAGCGGTAACCAAGGAAATGCCGTATCTGGTGTTCCAGAAGCGCCTCCTGCTGCCAGAGAGTGAATCTGCATCCCATTCAGAGCTTCTGCTGTTTGCTTCGTTCCAATAATATCCAGCTGCAGCCCTGCCGCAGCCCCACACATTTCAGGACACACAATCCAGGCCGGAAGTGAGGGGTGGAGTTAGTAAAACGTAACAACATGGCGGAGAGCAGGGTGAGTAAAGTTTATGTCATTTTGTGATGAAAAATTCGTTCAAAAGTTCAATGTTTATATTATAAATACTGTTTATGTGCATGCCTTTCACGTTTTATTTCTGAAGCTTTGAATTGTTGTCATCCTTTACCATTTTCGGGACTTTTCTGCGGACAGTTTGATTGCGTTTTAGGTTGTTTGTTGTAAATGGGCTTTGCGATAAAGCCACTTTATGGTTTGAATTTATTACTTTTTGATATATTTAATGCTTTCTTATAATTCTATTAGTTTCATTGTTTGTTGGTTTATTTTATGCTATTCTAGAGCATTGTAAGTTTGTTATTGACTTTTTCAAGTGTTATGCAATTTTTCATTTTATCTCCTGTAGAGACATACTACAATTCAGAGAGGCAAAAAATTACCTCAGTTCCAACAGTGCCAAAACTGTTGCAGCCTTTATCATTGCCCTTTCTGCAGGACATTTAAGCCAACCAGACTGGACAAATTAAAATTGCATCTGCAGAGCCATTCCAGCAAGGCAGTTGTCTATGATAGTATGGGTATCTTGAGTTGTTTTATTAATGTGTTGTAGTATAGTTAAGTACTTTACTAATGTAATGATTTATTTGTTGATGGTAAGGCAAATCATGTTTTGCTATAAATAAACGAATGCTTGCCTTCCAATTTAATGTATTGACAGTATCAGTTTGTTTCTTCTGGGATCCCTAAACAATGGCATTGCTATCTTTCATCTTTCAAACTCATTTTGCCCCATTTTAATTATGATTTGACTTTTTCTTAAATTTTGCTGTTTTTTTTAGTATGCTCTACACGTTGTGTTGGGAGCCCCCTTTGACTTTACATCTGTAAGTAATTAGGAGCACAAGCAATTGGATTTCATGCTGTTTGGATATTTATAAGATTTCTCTGTATTTCTGTCTTAAAGCATGACTTTCCAAAAATCAGGAGATGGTGGGCACTAATTCTTTTGGAGAACTTTGGGGTTGTCCCAGAAAGGTATTTCCTTATTTCCCTACAGTTCACACTACCTTGCACCCTATCCCAGACTAATAAAAAAATCAACCAAAAAATGTTACAGGACAGAAAACCTCCAGAAGACACTAGAGCTACATGAAGAATAAGCTACACCCAGCAGAAGTGAGGTATTTGTCAGTAAATATGTGTTGTTGCAAATGTGTAATTTATATGAAATAGTAAAATTGTATTATTCTTTGCCGTTTTGTAATGAAGGAGCTCACTATAATCAAACACATGAAACCGGCTGTAAAATGGATACATGCCAATAGACATGTGTTCAGGGGCCCTGTGGAAGAGCCTCTGTTCCTCAGAATGGAAGAGGATGACAAGGAAAAGGCCCTCCAAAATCTCATCAAAGATGCGGAAGACTGCAGAGACCCACTCACATTACATTTTTCATTCAGGGAAGACATGGAGATTTTTTTAGTTGAATGCCATGAAAAAATGGGATTAAAATTGAATTCTTCTTTTGAAGAGTGAAAAGTGTAAGACTTTCAAAAGCTTTTTTTTTTTTTGATATTACAATTACATTTCTAAATTTTAATTTTAGTTCTATTTTTGGTTGTTGAAATGTTTTTTTTATTAGTATGTTGCACTTTTTCCATGTTCAATTTGAATTTTAAAATAAAAAGTATTCTTGACATCAAACGGCCATTCTCTGTGTCTTTAAGTATTTGTTACAAAACAAACATGACCTAAATATCTCATCATAACCTACAGTCAAATTTTTTTTTACGGTTTACTAGATTGATCAAAATGAATATCAATATCAGCATGACATCAGAGCAAGTCGGACGTAACACTTTTCTAACCGGCATGCATCTCGCGGTGATCACCGGTGACCGATTCTGCGCAGAATCTGCTCATCTCAAACAAGCCTAATGCTTCCACTTACGTTACACTCACATACGACATACAAACTATGTAACACACGCGGATCATCGCCGTTTCTCTTACCTGAGCCAGCCCACTTACAGCCGCGCCATAACTCGCGCCGATATTTACAATTAGTTGGACAAATTCTGCATTTATCACGCCAGATTCAGATCGTCTGCTTCAGTTGCTTCAGCTGGTACACCCAGCGGTAGGGATGTATGGCGGGCCAGACGGTCCAAAATTAAGACTAATGACTTGTTGCGGGAAGTCACTATACTATTGCCAGGAGCTACTGAGTTTGCCACGACTCACCTTCCTCACACGGCGGGCGACTCACTCTCCTCACACGGCGGGCGACTCACTCTCCTCAATGCATGAAGATATTTCTCTTAACCAATGAGTTATGGTAGGCCTTTCTGTCTTTTTCCAATAAATGGCAATGAGCCTTTTGCCATGTAAAATGCACATATCTATCAATACTTGATTATCCTTTTTAATATTCCAATTTTCTGGATTAATGCCAAGAATGAAAAACCCTGGATCTAATGTTATCCTTATTGAAACCATATGCTCTATCATATTTCTAATTTCTTTCCAAAACTCTTTTATTTTGTCACATTCCCACATACAGTGAATTAAGACATTACATTTATATTACATTTACATTTAAAACAAGTATCTGGTATGTTGCTATAAATTGTATTTAATTTTACTGGAGTTATACAAGTACGCATAAGCCAATTGTATTGTAACAGTTTTAGTCTAGTGTTAACTGTATGTGTTTGGGCCTTTACACATTTTTGCTCCCATAATTCCTTATCTATCTTCACTCCGAGGTCTTGTTCCCACATGGTTAATTTGGATGCAGATGACTCCTGAGAACCTAATAATAGCATGTTATATAAAAGAGATATGTGTCCTCTGCTTTTACTTGGTTTAGTCATACATTTCTCCAGATTAGTTAGTTCTGGCTCAGTAAGTCCTTGTCCTCGGGTAGTATGTATAAAACTCCTAATTTGCAAATATTTATAATAAATGTTTTTAGGGATTTTGAACTTGTCAATAATATCAGCAAATGTCATTAGAACACCTTCTTTGTATAGGTCTTTAACTTTCCCCACACCATTCTCAGCCCAGAGTCGAAAACTTAAATCCTTTCGACCAGGTATAAATTTTTCATTCCCTCATATTGGGCTAAATAATGATAAAGACTCTTTTTCCTTTAGATGAGTTCGTACTTGCCCCCAGACCTTTATCATGTTCAGCACTATTGGATTAAATGATACTGTACTCAAATTTTTCTGTAATGTTTTTATATTGTCTGAATAAAGATACAAGTTAAAAGGAATATTAGATTTCACAAACAAATTTTCTATTTCTAGCCATTTAGGAGGAACGTTTGTCGAAAAATGGAACATTAACGCCTTTAAGTGGGATGCCCAATAGTATAATTGAATATTTGGGAGTTTTAATCCTCCCCTATCATATGACAGGTAAAGCAAAGATGTCCAGACTCTTGGGTGCTTATTATTCCAAATGAACTTGATAAACATTCTTCGTAGGTTAGTAAAAAATGAAGTAGAGGGTGGCCCCCTCTATATTTTGAATATTTTGGAAAATAATAAAGTAATTTGGGAAGTATATTCATCTTTATTATATTAATTCATTTTGACATAATTAAGCTTAATATTTTTTCCGGTTTAATTTTATTTATGTAAAATATTTTTAATAAACACATTGCCATCCAAAAGTTTGAAATAATTGAGATTTTTAATGTTGTTGAAAGAATCCTCTTCTTCTCACATTTATTCTCACATTTCTCTTTTCACATTTATTTTTCTTCTGTTTATTTGATCAAAAAACGCAGTAAAAACAGTAAAATTGTGAAATATTATCACAATTTAAAATAAGTTTTTTCCATCTCAATATGTTAACATGTAATTTATTCATTACACCAACAGTGGACAAAGGTTTGCTAGATTTTGATTGGATCTTGGTGGACTAACATAAGCAAACTGTACAAAGCCATCAGATAGAGATGCTAGGACAATGGCCAGACACCTCTTAGAGAGCATGAAGAAAAACTCTGCTACCAAGCCCAGGAAGGACGGGACTTGTCATTGGTCCACATTCAGTTTCGGCCCTTCACCCATCTAGAGACTAATTCCTAAGGCTTTGGCCTGTGACTGCCATAAAAATTCCTTAGGACCAATGGATTCAGCAGCAGTAGTGTGTCTGATGTACCCATAACCGCACATTTAGAGACAAGTGATTCAAAAATCACGTCATCTGTGAAATCATTCTAATATGATTTGCTGCTACAGTTGTGCTGCTTCATATTTTTGTGGAAATTGGAAACTGTGATACATTTTATTTTTCAGGATTTTTTGATGAATGGAAAGTTTAAAAGAACAGCATTTATTTGAAATATAAATCTTTTGTAACACTATAAATGTCTTTACTGTCACTTTGAACAATTTAATGCATCCTTGCGGAATAAAAGTATTAATTTCTTTCTTTTTGTTATTGTACTTAACCCCAAACGTTTGAATGGTAGTGCATCACGATTTCCACAAAAGCTGAAAAAAAGCCTTGGTGAGCAGAAGTGACACCTTTCAAAAAGATTAACAAATTTTAACAATTTCAAAAAAAAATTTGCCAGCAGTGTATGTATGTGTATACATATTTACATACATTCTGGCACTCTCACACACTTACATTCTCCTTTCACATACATGCATTTCTACTCTCTCTCGCACACATACATTCTCCTTTCACATACATGCATTTCTACTCTCTCTCGCACACATACATTCTCCTTTCACATACATGCATTTCTACTCTCTCTCGCACACATACATTCTCCTTTCACATACATGCATTT